AAAAAAAAAGAAAAAAAGGAAAAAGAAAATCTTGGTCATGACTTAATTTCTCCTAAAGAGATCAAGTTCAGAAATTTGCATCGCATCCTTGGGACAACCATATCAACACTCATTCAACGAATAATTCTTGCCTCTCCTATGTGCCAGAAACACATTTTACCCAGCAGTAAAAGTAGACACAGGCCTGCCTTCATGGAGCATATTTTCTAGTGAAAGGACCATCCTCCTAATAGCCACCTTTTATTGAAGCCTACTACAATTTGAATCCTTGCATCTTGTGTTTTAAAACGTTTATTTTTATAATTTGGTATTTGTTTCTAAGAGGTGAGAAGAGATAATTTCAGATTTCTATTTGTTAGCACTTCCCCATGGGTGAGGACAGTTGTACATAGAATCATTGCTCCATTTTTCTTTCCTTTTCTTTTCTCTTGGTCAGGAGTTCTAGACCAGCCTGGCCAACATGGTGAAACCCCGTCTCTACTAAAAATACAAAAATTAGCCGGGCATGGTGGTGCATGCCTGTAATCCCAGCTACTCAGGAGGCTGAAGCACAAGAATTACTCTACAAGAATTACTCACAAGAAGGTGTGAGCTGAGATTTCGCCACTGCACTCCAGCTGGGGCAACAGAGCCAGACTCTGTTTAAAAAAAAAAAAAAAAACCAGCTGGGTGTGGTGGCACACACCTGTAGTCCCAGCCACTCCCGAGGCTGAGGCTTGAGCCCAGGAGGTTGAGGCTGCAGTGAGCTGAGATCGCAGCACTGCACTCTATCCTGGGCATCTGAGACCCTGTCTCAGAAAAATAAAATAAATAAACATTGAGACAGAAGCCAGTGCTATTCTTGACATTTCATGGGACCCTCTTAACACACCCCTGGGGGATGCTGGGACCACTGTTTGGGAAACAGAGGTAAACCCCACAGGGCTTTAAATCCTAATGTCACCACTTCCTGGCCATGTGACCTTACTTGCTACACCCTGTTGACTCTCAGTTTCGTCATCCATAAATAGAGGATAATAATAGTTTGTATCTTCTAGGATGGTTGTGAGAATTAAATGGCATCATACCTGGAAAGGCCTCAGCTTTACAGTCAACTCTCCACAAATGGCAGCCATTATTATGGAAACCAAAGGTGGGGGGTTGGGGCCAGAGCCTGGAGACCCTGGAAAGGACTGAGTACACTGCTAAGAGAGGGGAAGGGAGGGGACAGGGCGGGTTGCTGCCCCTGCAGCTCTCAGCAGAGGCCTCCTGCAACCTCTCTGGATGTGGCTTTTAGTTCTGGCAGGAGGTGATGAAGGTGTGATCTGGGGGTGCTGCTACATGCCAACAGGGGAAGACCAGTGTGTTAGTGGGTTTTTTTTGTTTTTTGTTTTTGTTTTTGTTTTTTGAGACAGGGTCTCACTCTATTGCCCACGCTAGAGTGCAGTAGCGTGATCATAGCTCATTGCAGCCTCAACCCCGCTAGGCTCAAGTGATCCTCCTGCCTCAGCCTGCCAAATAGCTAGGACTACAGGCATGCACCACCATGCTGGCTAATTTTTGTGCTTTTTGTAGAGACAGGGTTATGCCATGTTGCGCAGGCTGGTCTCAAAGTATTCTCCTGCCTCAGTCTCTCAAAGTGCCAGGATTACAGGTGTGAGCCACTGCACCTGACTGTGTTAGAGGTTTTGAACCAGGCAGTCATGTGGATTCAAAATAAAGTTAGAGTCCTGAATGTCTGGAGAGATAGTGGAGTCGTTAACAGAGGTGGATTACAAGGGACATAGAGAGCGGAAGACAAATTATAATACTTAGGACAAAAGGAGTTCAGAGAGGGCTTAAAGTGTAGGGAGTGTCCATGGAATTTTGGTATGTGGCCACTTCTTGTCCTTAAATAACCTCCAAATGCAAGAAACATTATCTTTCCATATCACCCCCAAAACTGGGCAGCAGTGATGAGTAAAATGACTCTGACCTCAGTTAAATTGAAATTCTAGGAATAAACTGGCTCCTTTGGAGTTTCTTACTAAGGCTCCTTTCTCTGTCTCCGATTCCCCACTTGCAGCTCAGACAGTGCCCTCTGTTGGAAACTTCAACCACAAATCCCCATCCTGACTCCACAGGAAGGACCTAGAAGGAAACAAACACCCCTTGGGAGCCTTTCACATGCGTTGTTCTCATTCTACCTTTGCAGTTCCTTGGTGAGAAGGTTACTGTGTCCAACCTGGGGAAGCTGAGGCACAGAGATGGAGCAGCATGCCCCAGTTACAGCCAGAGCAGAGCTGAGATCGGAACTCGAGGTGGCTGCCTTCAAAAGCTTGTGCTTCACTCCCTCTACCTAGCTATACCTGTAGGATGATTAGACAAGGGACTTTTTTTTTTTTGGCAGTCATCTTTGACTATTGACAAGGGACTTGAAGATACAATCTCAAGAACGGAGGTTTGTATTTGACATGAATTGAAAGCCTTCCCACCTGATTCTGAGCAGGGCATCATACCAGACAAGGTAAGTAGCCACAGGGCTTTGAAGAGGTTGACAGGAACACCAGAACCCTGCCAGATAGAGTCTGGAGGCTGTGTTCTTGGCTTGCCCTCCCACCATGTGAACTTGATCAAGCTCTTCCCCTGTTCAGACTCTTGACCCACAAGAAGCGGAAGCAGGTTCAACATTGAACTTTCCAATGTCAACAACTGATCACAATCAGTACTATCTCTCAGGAGGATGATTTTGGCAGTGCATACAAAATTTTTTAAAAGGGCACAACCAGTTAGCCAGGTGTGGTGGCACATGCCCGTAGTCCTATCCCAGCTACTTGGGATGCTGAGGTGGGAGGATCCCTTGAGCCCGGGGAAGTCGAGGCTGCAGTGAGCTACAACCACACCACTGTACTCCAGCCTGGATAACAGAGTGAGACCCTGTCTCAGAAAAAAAAAAAAAAAAAAAAAAGGCCAGGCGCTGTGGCTCACACCTGTAATCCCACCACTTTGGGAGGCCAAGGCAGGTGGATCACCTGAGGTCAGGAGTTCAAGACCAGCCTGACTAACATGGTGAAATCACATCTCTACTAAAAATGCAAAAATTAGCTAGGTGTGGTGGTGGGCGCCTGTAAACCCAGCTACTCAGGGGGCTAGAGGCAGAGGTTGCAGTGAGCCAAGATCAGGCCATTGCACCCAAGTCTGGGCAACAGAGAGAGAATACGTCTCAAAAAAAAAAAAAAAAAAAAAAAAGGACACACCCACTCACTTCTTGGAATCTATCCTAAAGAAATGTACACATAAGTGCATGGGACATACACACAGGATGTTCACTGCAACCCTTATGAGTAACATTGATCTATCGTAAGGCTGCCTTGTGATACACCTAAACCTTGGGAAAGTACACAGCCACTAAAAGAATGAGGAAGGCACATAGGTGGTAAAATGAAAGCATCACCAGTGATGTGTGATTGAGTGCAACAAGAAAGGTTCCTTAACCGAAACAAAGTAGACATGGTGTGAGCCCACTGCTCTATTTGCACGTGCATAATAAAAGACTTGAAAATGTAAGGAAAGACTTTCTTTTTTCCCCATATGCAATGCTCTACTTTTATAATAAAAATTATTATTATCATTATTATTTTGTTGGGTGGTGGTTGTTGTTTTGGGATGGAGTCCCGCTCTGTCACCCAGGCTAGCGTGCAGTGGCGCAGTGTCTGCTCACTACAAACTCCGCCTCCCAGATTCAAGCACTTCTCCTGACTGAGCGTCCCCAGTAGCTGGGGTTACAGGTGCCTGCCACCACACCCAGCTAATTTTTGTATTTTTAGTAGAAACGGGATTTCACCATGTTGGTCAGGCTGGTCTTGAACTTCTGATCTCAGGTAATCCTCCCACCTTGACCTCCCAAAGATATTTTGTTTTTGAGACAAGGTCTTGCTCTGTCACAAGTCATGGCATGATCATGGCTCACGACTGACTGCAGTCTCTACCTCCCAGACTCAAGCAAACCTCCCTCCTCAGCCTCCTGAGTGGTTGGAACTACAGGTACACGCCGCCACAGTGGGTAATTTTTGTATTTTTTGTAGCGACTGGGCTTCACCATGCTGCTCAGCCTGGGTCTCAAATTCCTGGGCTCAAGCAAACCACCTGTCTCGGCCTCCCAACGTGCTGGGATTACAGGTATGAGCCACTGCACCCAGACAATAAAAATTATTTCAAAATATTTTCATCTGTAGAATGCTCTACAAGGAAAGTCAGTTTGGGTAAGGAGTTTGGGCTTTTTACATAATTTTTTCTTTTTTTTGAGACAGGGCTTGCTCTGCTGCCCAGGTGGACTGCAGTGGTGCAACCACGACTTATTTTGTTTTATTTTGTTTTTTTGTAGAAACAGGGTCTCCTTTTTTTTTTTTTTGTAGAAATAGGGTCTATGTCACACAGGCTGGCCTTGAATTCCTGGGCTCAAGCGATCCTCCCACCTCAGCCTCCAAAAGTGCTAGGATGATGGGTGTGAGCCACCACACCCAGTAAGTATGAGTTATTAAACTACCAATGGAACTTGATAAGAGATTTGCTTAAAATTCCTCACATTCAGTGTATCTAGCGCTTGGTGCTTCACCTTCACCCACCAACTTTATGAAGACTATCTGACAAGTAAAGACATAGAGGCTCCTGGACTCCGATTTTTAATTTAAAAAATTTGCATTTTGGGGCCGGGCGCGGTGGCTCAAGCCTGTAATCCCAGCACTTTGGGAGGCCGAGGCGGGTGGATCACGAGGTCAAGAGAGCGAGACCATCCTGGTCAACATGGTGAAACCCCGTCTCTACTAAAAATACAAAAAATTAGCTGGGCATGGTGGCGCGTGCCTGTAATCCCAGCGACTCAGGAGGCTGAGGCAGGAGAATTGCCTGAACCCGGGAGGCGGAGGTTGCGGTGAGCCGAGATCGCGCCATTGCACTCCAGCCTGGGTAACACGAGCGAAACTCCGTCTCAAAAAAAAAAAAACAACAAAAACAACAACAACAAAAAAAAAATTTGCATTTTTTTTTTTATGGAACACTTCACAAATTTGTATGTCATCCTTGTTGTGCAGGGGCCATGCTAATCTTCTCTGTTGCCTTCCAATTTGAGTAGGCGTGCTGCTGAGTCAAGCACCAGGATCTAATCTTTAAGGCTTTTTCCACTACACAGATAATTGAATCCTATGGGCTCCCACAAAACTATTTATGTTCCTATCGCCTGGGATATCAAATATATGGGGACATTTATCACGCTGTATTGTAGTTGTGCCCTCAAGCACAATGCTACACAAAATGCACTCTGTCGAATCTTTCTTGTTTGTTTGTTGGTTTATTTGTTTATTTTTGAGATGGAGTCTCCCTCTGTCAGCCAGGCTACAGTGCAGTAGAGAGATCTCGGCTCACTACAACCTCCATCTCCAGGGTTCAAGCAATTCTCTTGCCTCAGTCTCCTGAGTAGCTAATAGATACTATAAGTTTGAGCCACTACACCTGGCCTCTGCTGAATCTTTTTTTTTTTTTTTTTTTGAGACGGAGTTTCGCTCGTGTTACCCAGGCTGGAGTGCAATGGCGCGATCTCGGCTCACCGCAACCTCCGCCTCCCGGGTTCAGGCAATTCTCCTGCCTCAGCCTCCTGAGTAGTTGGGATTACAGGCACGCGCCACCATGCCCAGCTAATTTTTTGTATTTTTAGTAGAGACGGGGTTTCACCATGTTGACCAGGATGGTCTCGATCTCTTGACCTTGTGATCCACCCGCCTCGGCCTCCCAAAGTGCTGGGATTACAGGCTTGAGCCACCGCGCCCGGCCCTCTGCTGAATCTTAAACTAAAAAATGAAAACTTGTATTTTGTATGTCTTTGAGGTTTTAAAATTTTATTTTTCTGGTAATTTTTTTTTTTATATTTTACAACAGTATCCACCTGTAACAGTTGGACAATTTTAAAAACCAGTACTTTAGCAGTCTGAGAGGCACTGGGTTGCCACAGAGAGAATCGTCTAGACTGAAGCAGGTGGTCAGGCGCAGTGGCTCATGCCTGGAATTCCAGCACTTTGGGAGGCCAAGGCAGCAGATCGCTTCAGCCCAGGAGTTCGAGACCAGCCTGGGCAACGTAGCAAAACCCCGTCTCTATTTAAGTCAAGGAGAATTTAAAGAAAAAATCAGCTGTGGCAGGTGCTCCATGTTTGGTGTAGGAACGAATTCATCACTGAAGGAATGACTGTATGAGTGTGAGTGAATCAGCCACATGAACAAAAACGCCCAGAATCCAGGTTTCTCATTTAGAGCCATTCAAATGGTGAGAGCTTAGGACGTCAAGTTCATGGCCAGACTTGATAAACACATCACTAAAGCTGCACCCTCCTGTTTTAAAGATGGAAGTGGGAGACGTTTCTCCCCCAAGTCATAGAACTGATTAACAAAAACAAAAAATACCAAAAAGACCAGCATTTTGGGAGGCCAAGGCAGGTGAATCACCTGAGGTCAGGAGTTCGAGACCAGCCTGGCTAACATGGTGAAACCCGGTCTCTATTAAAAAAAAAAAAAAAAAAAAAAAAAAAAAAAAAAAAAAGAGCCACATATAAGTAAAAAACAATATTTAGTTCTCATGATTTTAAAACTCAGACTAGGTGAGTAGACTAAGATAAACATCTTCCTTACCATTTTTTACCAAATAACAGGAAACACAGCCCATATGCACAAACATCCTATTTTAAGGACTGCTGTTTTTTGGTTTTTGTTTTGAGACTGGGTCTCACTGGAGTGTACTGGTGCAGTCGTGGCTCACTGCAGCCTCAGCCTCCCAGGCTCAAGCAATCCTCCCATCTCAGCCTCCTGAATAGCTGGGACTACAGTCGAATACCACCACATCTGGCTAATTTTTTAATTTTTTGTAGAGACAGGGTCCTGCTGTGTTGCCCAGTCTGGTCTCGAACTCCTGTCTCAGCCTCCCAAAGTATTGAGATTACAGGTGCAAGCCACCACATCCAGCCAAGTACTACTGTTCTAAGTGGAGGCTTTTGAAGACACCCCAGGATGATGAAACTGAGGAGTGAGCAGGATTTAGCCCTAGGGCACAAGTTCCTCAAGTCTACCTTGAAGTGCTTCAACTGTTCAGGAAACACCTTCCACCTAAAGTTGCTGCCTCTAAACAGGAGCAAAGACTCCTTACTCAAGAAAAGTGCCAGGCACACCTTGCTCCCAGAAACAAGTAGGTCTTCTTTATAGTTAAAGGCACCTGGGGCCGGGTGTGGTGGCTCACGCCTGTAATCCCAGCGCTTTGGGAGGCTGAGGCAGGCAGATCACCTGAGGTCAGGAGTTTGAGACCATCCTGGCCAACATGGTGAAACCCCATCTCTACTAAAAATACAAAAATTAGCCAGGAGTGGTGGTGGGCACCTGCAGTACCAGCTACTTGGGAGGCTGAGGCAAGAGAATTGCTTGAACCCGGGAGGTGGATGTTACAGTGAGCCGAGACTGTGCCACTGCACTCCAGCCTGGGCAACAGAGCAAGACTCAGGACTCTGTCTCAAAAAAAAAAAAAAAGGCTGGGCATGGTGGCTCACGCCTGTAATCCCAGCACTTTGGGAGGCCGAGGCGGGTGGATCACGAGGTCAAGAGATCGATACCATCCTGGTCAACATGGTGAAACCCCGTCTCTACTAAAAATACAAAAAATTAGCTGGGCATGGTGGCGCGTGCCTGTAATCCCAGCTATTCAGGCGGCTGAGGCAGGAGAATTGCCTGAACCCAGGAGGCGGAGGTTGCGGTGAGCCGAGATCGTGCCATTGCACTCCAGCCTGGGTAACAAGAGCGAAACTCCGTCTCAAAAAAAAAAAAAAAAAAAAAAAAGAAAGAAAAGAAAAGAAAAAAAGAAAGAAACAGGGTCTTCCTCTGTGGCCCAGGCTGTACTGCAATGGTGCAATCACAGCTCACTGCAGCCTCAACTTCCTGGGCTCAATCAATCCTCCCACACCAGCCCCTCAGAGTGCTAGGATTACACACATGAGCCAGCATGACCAGCACTGGTGGAATTCCGATTTTTCTCTTTTTCCTGTTTTTATTTGTTTGTTTTGTGTTGTGTTGTGTTGTGTTTTTTGAGACAGAGTCTCACTGTGTTGTCCAGGCTGGAGTGCTGTGGCACAAACTCACTATAGCCTCAACCTCCTGGGCTTGAGTGATCCTCCTTCCTCAGCCCCCAATTAGCTGGGACTACAGGTGTGCAACACCACGCTTGGCTAATTGTTGTAGGGATGAAATTTCGCCATGTTGCCCAGGATGGTCTCAAACTCCTGAACTCAGGCAATCCTCCCTCCTTGGCCTCCCAAAGTGCTGGGATTCCAGCTGAGCCGCACCCAGCTTAGTAGAATTCTTAGTATAACTCTCTGAGTAGCTACTCTCAGTGTCTCATTTTATTTTACTTTTATTTATTTCATTTATTTACTTACCCCAGGATGGTGAAATTGAGGAGTGAGCAGCATTTAGCCCTAGGGCACAATGTTTGAGACAGGACCTCCCTCTGTCACCCAGGCTGGAGTGCAGTGGCACTTTCACAGCTCACTGTAGCCTCCACCTCCCGAGCTCAAGCAATCCTCCCACTTCAGCCTCCCAAAACGCTCGGAATACAGGCGTGTGCCACCACACCTGGCTAGTTTTGTTTAATTTTTTGTAGAGATGAGGTCTCACCATGTGGCCTAGGCTGGTCCCGAACCCCTAAGCTCAACTGATCCTTCCACCTTGACCTCCCAGAGTGCTGGGATTCCAGGTATGAGCCACTGTGCCTGGCCCAGGGTCTCATTTTAGAGAGCTGTAAAGGTAAGTTCCCCCTTCCAAGCTCTCCCAGCTCAGAGAGGCTCCCTGCTGTGCTCCTATCTCCCCATTTTGTGAGTTTCACGCTCTAGGCTGCCTGGTTCTTGTCCTCCCTGTGTTTCTCAGCTTCAATCCGTGGGCATCCACTCTGGCCGGCTTTGTTGTCGTTCTCAAGCTTCTGTCATCATTGGTATAATTTTACATCAACTTGGCATTCCTTTAAAGTTCAAAAAAATATGTTCACTTCTTAAATATCTCCTGGGGGAGAAAAGAGTTCTATAAATGATTTCGTTCTCCCTGCCTTCATGTTGAACTTAAAAAGGCGAAGTCACTGGATCCCTGTTAACAAGTCCGGTTGTTTGTTGGTTTATTTTCGTGTTGGAAACTCTTCTCCATGGTTAACCACTCTTCCTCCTCCTTAAAAAATCCCATGAGGAATTCTGATCAGACGCTGGAGCTGCGGGGCAGATCCTCAGGAGAATATTATGTTTCTAGAAGGCTCCTGGAAGCCAACAAGCCTTGCAACCTGACTCTCCACTGACTTTTTACCTGTAGGATTATCTCAGGACAGGAGGAAAAAGACACAGGCATGCTTTCTGGTCCCAAAGAAAATGATGTATTTCATAAAGGAAGAAAGAGTTGTTTTGTTTTGGTTTGGTTTGGTTTGGTTTTGAGACTGAGTCTCGCTCTGTCGCCCAGTCTGGAGTGCGGCTAACTGCAACCTCCACCTCCCTGGGTTCAAGCAATTCCCCCGTCTCAGCCTCCTCCCAAGTTGCTGGGACTACAGGTGCGTGCCACCACGCCTGACTAATTTTTGTATTTTTAGTAGAGACGGGGTTTTCCCATGTTAGGTAGAATGGTCTTGATCTCCTGACCTTGTGATTCACCCACCTTGGCCTCCCAAAGTGTTGGGATTACAGGTGTGAGCCACCATGCCTGGTGGAAGAAAGAGTCTTAAACCAATAACTGAAATTCATTTGACCATAAAAAAGGCAATATAAAAGGGTGAGGACTCTGGAACCCAACTGCTCGAATTTGAGTACCACCAGCTCTGCCACTTATCTGTGTGATGCTGGTCAAGCTCTTTAACATCTCTGTCCCTTTGTTTCAATATCTGTAAATTGAGGATGATAATGGTACCTAAATCCATATGTTTTGATGAAGGTAAAATAAGGTTTGCAAGGGACTGGAAGGTTTCCTGGGATTCTCAGGACTAAAACTGGGAAAGTCACAAGCAAACTGGTATGTGCCCAACACCTTAAAATGAAATGAAAGGCCGGGCATGGTGGCTCATACCTGTAATCCCAGCACTTTGGGAGGCCGAGGTGG